TCACACTTCAAGTTGATATTACTCGCCAAATCGATTTTAAAGAAGCCTTGTTAAAATACCTGCTTGACAAGTGAGAATGTTAGTGTACGGATAGCAGACCGGCGCTGTGATGTCCAAAGGCGTTATATCAGGTGCTCTCTCTTCCAAGGCTGACGCCGCTTACAGTCGTTGTGCACGTGCCACCCTATCGCCCTGACGACAGTTGTTTACTCCGTGTACATGACAGTGATATTCACCACCCGTACCCTACCCTACTTTCTTCCGCCATTCCCAGTCCCAATGATCGCGAAACGCCGACCCCACCATGCGGATGGCGTGGTAATGATGATATTTCACTAGCTTGTACCTGTGTCAGCCGGAGAATGAAGTACTATAAATATGAGTTTAAACAATTCACATTGCAATTGATCCATTTCTTACAAAATTCGGCAGCCTCAGTGGGATTGGAACCCACGCCAGCATGTGGAAAGCTTTAGTACAGCCAAGGCTCTAGCCAACTGAGCTATGAGCCCCTCCTCCCCCCAACAAGAGCCGTGAGTTGAATCACACTTGGGTCAACTTACGCACCCAATGTACTACAACGTATGGAATTCAATATTATCGACAGAGTAAGCTAACACTGCCCAAGCGGGATTTCTTAAGCAGTCAATCTAGAATCCATCAGCCGACTTCCAGTCAAATTTAATTAGTAGGACGGGGGATGGTAAAACTGAATGATTCATTTTGGCCTCTTGTGAAAACCCTGGTAAGCTCAGTTAGATTGAAGTCCACACCAGCAGTGGATAAGGCTTTAGAACAGCCAACGCTCCAGCGGTAGCCGTGAGTTTAATGACACTTGGGTCAATTTACCCGTCCAACATACTTAAACATACAGAATGCATAAATTCTGACATAGTAAGCTGACTACTGTCCAAGCAGAATTTCCTAAACAGTCAATCTAGAACCCATCAGAGGAGTGCCAGATACTTTTATAAAATAATATTTAAGTGTAAGTATTCACCAGCGCATTCGTGATTCTTATAAAGATCTTTCTTTCGATTTTTCCGGTAAGCGTACCTGATTAGTATCGCAAGTCGCCATTTATCTATCCCACTGTCGCCTTCGCCAGAGTTTAAAATTCCGCCCAAAGCGAAGACTAACAGGGTATTCAACTGGAAAGCTGTCATTTTCAGAAACTTTACTCTTTATTGAGACTTCATTACATTATTACTTGGTGAACTACTCCTTAGCAATTACATTTTAACATAAATGTCTGATGTTTCAGGCTGGTTAACCTTCAAGGCTGGGATGAGATCAAATTTGACTTAAAGTCAACAATAAAAAATATCCTCGCCCAAATTTTCAAGATGTTACAATTTACGTCATGAACAAGACCAGACCCGCACGTGGCAACTGCTGAGGATAGTTTTCTATTTTCCCTCTAAACGGGCCACGTGATAGATGCGCTGGACCAACAGAGGTGCCAGACCCGGGTATGGTAGGCGTTATTCGAGTTACGCGCCGATAACAAATGCCGACGGGCACGGGGCTGGCACGCTTCGAGGTGGCTTCAGCCGCGGCAGTCACTTGCGTCCAAGTTTGCCTTCGGTCTTCCTGACTGCGCATGTCTCAGACTGTTCTTCTATTACTTATGAATAAGGATTCCCGAGGGAATCCGAAACGTCAGGACAATAAACCTCTT